AAAATGTTTTAGTTAATTAATTAAAATTAATTAAATTTAAAAAACTACAGAAATATTTCAATTATAAAAAAAAACAATTTTCTTCTTGAAAATTTAACACTCTGTGTGTCAGAAACGAAACAGCAGTGAACTCGATTTAAATTGGATCGGGACGGCCTGATAGAAAAATGAGGCAAATTTTACTATAGAAATAGACTGCTAGTGATAGTAATTATTGTATTTCTCTTGTCCTTTTATATACCCATTTATTCTTACAGTAATTAGTTACACATAATTATTTCGTAATAAAAACGATATTTCCTTTAAATAAAATAAGACTTATACGTGCGCATACAAGTATTTCTAACGTTTTGAGAAATTCATTTATCAGATAACAGCATTATGTATTATGTAAAAAAAAACATGAAATACTAACAACAAAATACTGATTTATTTTTTATTTTGAAACTTGCAATTATGAAGTAGGTATTGGAACTTAAAAGTGAAACAATTGTATTTTCATTGGCTTATTCAAAGTAAATAACAAAAATTGCAAAAAGGATCAGGAATCTCTTTGATTATACTATATTGTTAAGGCACCTCCCTAGTTAAAGCAAAATTCAATTTCGACGAAATCGGAAAAAAGGTATTTACCATATTGTATGTTAGATCTTTTGGATGTCGAATGTCCAGCTCAGCCATTATGCAACACAAGAATTTATTCTTTTAAAAAATTTTAATTAGCAGCAGTACGAAATTATTAGTATCGGAGGGTGAGGCAAGGCGGCCCCCTGGGGCATGAAGGCCCACCTCAAAAATTAACCTTTTTTTTTCTAATCAAAACCAACCAAAAAAAAAATTTATAAGCTTCACCAAAATTTGGGTAAATTTAGTTAAAGTTAGTCAAATAAGTCGACTTAATGGTTAAAAAACATAAAAAATAATAAAAAGCTTAAGCCCCCCTAAATACTGTACACACACAAGATTGTCACCATTAAAATACATATATCATAATCAATTAGTTCAAAGAAGAATGAGCGATTGGAATGATTTCACAAAGTACTCGTTAACAACGCTTTACTCCCAAAAAGGCCAAATAGGTATCAAAATTAAAAAATAATATAAACAATATCTTATTACAGTTATCTGCCATTAGTATAAGCATATAAGACAAAGAGAACAATTTCTATTACTATACCAGTCTCATTCTAAGTAAAATTTTCCTCACAAAATCCATATTGGCTGCATTCCAATTCCATAGATGGAGTTTACTGCGAAAGAGTTTAAGAGATCGGCATTAACTGTCATGAAAAAACTATTCGGGGGTTTCACACAGGCGAAATCGTCGGTATTAAAAAAAAACGCATCTACAGATGCCGTTATCATTAATCAAATAATTGGCAATATTTCCGCGAACATCTGTATCAAACGGCAGATAAGTTCGCGGGTGCGGTAATTTTCGCGGAAATTCTCAACAATCTCTCGACATACGACGACTATTTTCCGTTTGTTTTGCCGGTTTCCGCGAAAATTGCTATTCAAACGTCGAAAGTGCCACAAGACGACATCGGAATGCCTCAAGGCACGGTCTTAGCGCCATCCCGTCGTGCCAGATTATATAGGATAGCTCATGAATACGGGTTTATATTAATTTTGCATAAGGTTATATTTTCTGGGTTATCATTTACGGGGTGTCCAATATTTACCAACCAAGTTCATTATTTTTAAAGCTGCAAACTTTGACTTTTTTATATGCGACCCTCTGTATGTAATTGTATGATCTTTCCAACATTTAAACCTATATCGATTGACTACGCCCTTCTATAGAAAATATAAAACAACAATAGAAAAGCATAGCCAATCAATGTTGGTTTAAATTAAGCATTCATAGTTTTGGTTAGTTATGCCAATTCTCTACTTTGTTTCCGGTTGCCGAAATAATCAAGATGCCTTGGAAACCATTGAAATTATACTATGTTTCTTCATGTGAGAGAGTAATAAAATGTAAATTTGCAGTGAGACAGATCATTAGACAGAGTATTTCAGTTTTTAAGACCTATAAGTAAGAGGTTTGCTGGTGGGGAAGCCTGCAGGATCTTACCATTTAATATATCCAAGTTAAGTGTTGTTGAATATTAATGAGACACCCTCTACAAACTTTTGTATGAAATGAAAATGAAAATAATTTATATCTACCCGGTTTTCGAAAAACATAAATTAATATTTTTCTTAGAAAATTATTACATACACAGTGTTTCATTTAAGAACATTCGATATCACGTATGTATCTTAGCTGAAAATAATGCCACAATAAGGGTATACATTGAAAATGTGGATCACAACTTCCCATGGCAGGAACCAAAATTTGAGATACACCAATATCTCCCTCAGTTCTCTAAACATTAATGAGAATAGGTCATTGGATTTGGAATAATATTTCATATATTAGCTAAAAAGTTTTGTACACTTTAGTTACGAGCGCAGCGGAGCCAGTTTTTAATAAACTGGTGTATAAAGAAGATTGGTTAATGAAGCACGTGACATCTTACGCACTTCTGATTTGTGCATAGTTCGGTATTTTGGTTGGGCATTATATTTTTTATTTAAACTAGATAATTGTAAATATTTTCTTTCTGTTCATCCCGCCGTAGTTTTAACGCTATATGGCGGAATCTAAAGAAACATACATTTTCTTTTGCGTAAACGGAACCTCCTTGTGGGATATTAGTTGTTTTTTTATACTACAGCGTTTTTGTTAATCGTTTGTTTCCCAAGTTCGTTGACTAACCTACAGCCTGGATGTTTTACGGAAGGTAATGAATTTGCCTCGTCGTTTCCTTTTCTGAGGTTGGGCAATTATCGACACTATGCCGGTTCATCGCATTTCAAACTGAATAAACTATCAAAACCGTTCACGTTAACAACATTTCGATTTCCGAACTCGCAGATCAGCTGTTTGAGCAATATATATTAGATTCAAATTACGCCATCGTCGTTGCTGATCTTGCATTTTGCCAGATTCGGATTTCATACCTAGGTAATAAATATTGTAGATACTAGGAACTCAAGAAAACTTTTCTTTAACAAAGTTTCGGTTTAATTAAAATTTTATCTAGCGAAACCGAAAAACACGATTTATTTTCTGACTCCTGAGTTACAATGCCTTACCAAATCACTTGAACAATTTACAAATTAATACTAAGTTTTCTCTTTTAGTAAATAATGGTAAAAGTTGTGTTTGGCTATATTTTTAGAACTCTAACAACATAAAATTATAATTTTTTAAAAAAGTACTTGTTGAATACCGCAAGGTCAGCTTAAAAGTTAGATTTTAAATTTCGCTCATGCGCTCTTCTCATAGTCGCTTCATAAGATTATGTATTTTCGGCATTATAGAGGTAGTAATTTAACAATTTTTAGATTGTTCCGCAGGAGGAGGAACCATTTAACTAATAAAAATTGTTTCCAACCAGTATAGCTTTTGTTTTTTTTATGGAGCATAATGATCTACCTGCGCCGCTGATATGTATGCACTCATCTCGGTCTGATGGATTTCGTCTCGGATTCGAGAAAGCGTATATAGCGCAATAGAAGATATTTTTTCGCTACGTATAATAATAACCATAATCGCGTTTCTGTTTACATAGTTGCCCAGCGTGTATGTGTACCTATATGGAAAGTATATTGCTCGTAGAATTATATAAAAACGACCGTTTCGTTCGAAATTGTTGTTACGCCCGCCATTTTACACGTAAAGCCAGTAAAAAAACAATACGTTTGTGCTATTTTGTCTAATTATCGGGCTAATTAGTGATTATTATATTTGAATATTTTTAATGACGCCATTTGTTTTAAGAAGCCTTCTTTTATTTATTTTTCTTTCCTTCCCTATTCTGTTAAAGTAAGGCACTAACATATACTTACGCCTCTAAAAGGTTTTTTTATTAACTTTTTGGTTTTGCTTATAATTTGTATTTTTGTTTGTTTCCCAATAATTGATTTGTCTACTTCTTTGCTTTACTACATACTTCGTCATCCTTGTTGTTTTTTGTTTTTGTTGTACTGTAGTGGTTCTTTTTAGGCAACAAATTAACATTGACCAATTCAGGAATCCATTCTGTACATTTACATGTGTTCTATAACGTAGTAATTTTTTTTACATATTTCTCCTCAAAATTTCGATTTTTTTTTTAAACAAAATTGTTATTTCTCTCTCAGATTTAAATCGTGCTTAGCAATATTTAGGCAACAACGGAATAAACAAACAATTTTCAACATAAACGCATCCAGCCGCCTGTAGCGATTCGAGTAAATAAATGTAAATAAAACGAGTATACCGATTGATACATATATCCGTATCAATTGTCTGATGTGTTACCCCGACTTTAGGAACGGCATATGTTGTTTCCACCTGCCTTATACGTAGCCCCTTTTATTAAACACCTGCTCTGTCGCGTGCGATCTGCTTGGGGTCCAGAGGGTTGCGAGATAAAGATTAGCGCCCCCCACTTCGGAGCATTAATGCGGACACGCGACGGGTTAAAGTTCAAGAAGACCGGCGTATATTATAACCTCTAAATGCGCTCTCTAACGGCAGACAAAAGACTCGACAACCTGTTTTGGTTAATGTCATACAGGGCGGTCGCGTAGTGATCAAAAAGCAACCTAAGTTTAAGGTTATGAAAGACATTGTTTTTGACAATAATTTTCGTGTCAATTTTAATAATTACCAATACCCAAACAAAATTCACCCGACTCTTTACCTTTATATTTGGTATTAGATTGGCTTTCAATTTCAAAATTAAGCGAATTCCAACAGAACACATAGATTCAAAAATTCTGTAGCTTATCGTTAAAATTTCCTGGAAGTATTGTAGCAAATTCATATTTATAGTACAAGAAATTTTTCAATAAATAATGATAAAATAAAACCCGAGAAAATAATATCGTTTCTAACCGGGATCGAAACCATTCGATGGTGTTACGATAAACATTTCTCAGCGTTACACATTGTATTTCAGATCATAAATTCGCCATGCAAGGGGTCGTCTTTATGCCGCAGAATCCTCAGCAAGGCTCCCCACCTCCGAACGGCGTAACCGGTAAGTACATCCACGTTTCGGCAACTTAAAACTCGAACCAAGAATAATAGAGTTCGATAATTATTTTCGGTTAAAGTCGGTTCATAGATATATGAAAGTGACTAACTGATACGAATTACAGGTACAGGTTCGTACTTTGCTTAGAATTTAATTATTGGGGGTTTTGTTAGGAAAGATACTAAACAATATTTATTTATTTATGTATGTATTTATGTTTAAATATAAAATAAAATTACAAATTAAGTCAACTGTCTACTGTGACAACTTGCATTGTCCATTACAATGACGCTATTATTAGGAATGTTTGGAACTAGTTTGTTTTTAAACCAACTTTCAAATAAATCAACGGTGGTGTGTTGATGGTAATCCAGAGAAGAATCTTTAATATTTTTCGCACACAGAGAAAGTCCATTTGGGATCCAACCATCTTTAGAGGCAACATGCAAAATAGTTATTCTTTTACCTCTTTTTGATGGCGCGTTTGTTTTACACTTATCAGTTGACTCAACCCAACCCTTTTCCGGGGTATCATAAGTGTCGAATCAGGTTTCATCCAAGTAAATAATTGGCCTTTGTTGTTCTCTGTAAATCCTGATTTTTTCTAGATATTCCAGTCGCCATTTCCGAATTCTAAAAGATTCCATTAAAACTTGCCTTTTGTCAATTCTTTTAAATCTAAAACCCCTGTGTTGAATACACTTCCATAAGGTAGTTCTGCCACATTTAACACCGGTTTTATCTTTTTCAAGCTTCCTAATTAAGATATCTAATGTAGACTCGCTTTGTTCCTCTTATAACTGGTAAATTTTACATCGTATTATATCTTGATCACTTTCATCTACACTCGAGAAAACGTCAGCATCGCTTCTTTTTTTTCCTCGCTTAAATGGGATTATTCACAATTTTCCATACAGTTGATGTTGGAATTTTCGTCAATATAGCCGTTTCTTCTGAAGATGCTTGCTTGCTGGTATCACGTTCAATGAGAGTCAAATAAATATTGTTTATACCGTCCTTAGTCTCAATAGAATAAATAGTGTTTTCTACATTTGGGCGGGAGCATCTCCCGAGATACACTAGACTCGCACATATTTTGCATAATTCGGACACGATTCAACACACGCTGTATTACAGACGAAATAAGAATGATTACTAATAAACAAACTAAGTAGTATACCAAACCAAAGAGTATTAAACACAGAAACTTTGAGTAACAATCTTGTTGCATTGTATGTTAATGACCACCCTTGGATAATCCCATTCAAAAGCAATTGGTCACTTTCTTATATCTATGAACAGACCATACCTGAACCTAATCAAAATGTTCCCTGCGGCAGGCTTGGAGGTTAAGCGTGTGCTCTGACACGTTCGTCTTTACAAATTTTTGTTGGGCGTTTAACAGCAAGGAATTGACAAAAAAAGAGCATTGTGCATTTTGTTTCATTTTCTGTAGTGCTCCTGCTGACCACTATGAAACTTTTGCAAAAAAAATGCACGCTGTATAAAGAGCCTTTCAAATGTGCATTCAACCTAACATCAAAGTCATGTCAAACTTTGGCGATATAAAAATTTGTACAAGCGATTTACAATTATATTTTCCAGGTATTTCGCGCACCCTGTATGATAAAGATAAAAATTGCTGCCTAAACGAAATTTCTCAATTTTTTACGGTTTTTCATTTAATAATGAAGCCATTTAAAAGTTAATTTTTAGTGACTTAGTTCTTTGCATACAATCGACATACTCTGTACAGGGTGGTCCAAATTCGAGGGGCCCCTATGGCTTTAAGCATTTGCAGCATAGTTAGCCCAAAACTAATATGCATGTGACGGGCTCGACTTTCGAGAGAAGTCGAAAACTTAAAACCGCATCGTGATATGTCAAAGCGTTTCCAAGCTAAAAGTAAAAAGCTAAAGCTAAAAATGTGCGCTTCTAAAAACCCGTTATAACTTTTTTATTTGTAAAGATAGAGATTTTTATTAAAAACCTTTTTTGAAGATTTTTTAAGGGCAAATCTACCTATTTCACCAATTTTGTCTTAAAGCCTTTAGTTCAAGAGATATAACACAAAGTTACATTTTTTTAAAATGGAATGCCCCATTTTTTTTTAATTAGTTTTCTAATAATATGAAAGAAGGCAACCTAGCTCAAAAATATTTTTAAAGTTAAAACGTCATCTACAAGAATACGGATCCTTTACAAAATCGAGGCTTTGGACGTATGGAAGACCAGCCAGAGTTAGAGAGTTGAAAGAACTAACGGAATACTAGAAGTTAAAGTGCGAGGTTACTGTGTCCCCTCGTGTCGTAGCCAACTTCATTTTGTATTACAAAAAAAAAACAATAAAATTTGATCTACATACTTAGGCTGCGTACGGCGCCTACTATGGTAAATATCAAAAATTGCAAACATCAACTATTTAATAAAAGTAGGTGTGTGGCACATCGTTCGACAGGAAATTTTATTATAAAACTGATTTTTCAGAAAAATTGGGGGTATCCCATCTAAAGAAATATAACTTTGTGTGATATCTCGGGAACTAAAGGCTCTAAGACAAAAAAATACAATTAAAAAAGTTATAGAGGGCCTTTAAAATCGCACATTTTTGAGGATCACTCTGAAACTCAAAAACGACTTGACATATCACGATGCGGTTTTCAGTTTTTGACTTCTCTCGAAAATCGAGCCCGTAACATGTATATTAGTTTTGGGCTAACTATGCTGCAAATGCTAAAAGCCAAGAGGCCCCTTAATTGGCTTCATTATTAGTTAAATGAAAAACCGTAAAAAATTCAGAAATTTCGTTTAGGCGGCAATTTTTATCATACAAGGTGCGCGAAATACCTGAAAAATATAATTGGAAATCGCTAGTACAAATTTTTATATCGCCAAAGTTTGGGCTAACCATGCTGCTGTAACTATGCAGCCATAAAGGCCCCTCGAATTTGGACCACCCTGTACATAATCGAAAAAATCACCAAAATAAAAGTTTTAGTTCCAGCTCTCTAGCGTTTAATGGTCTAATAATATTTCCGATCAGGTGAATGGTTTTCGATAAAAAAAATAAGGGGCCCAAAATAACTCAAAAAAAGTTATTTTTTTAAATACCTCTTATGAAAGCCAGGTTTTGTAGCATAGACCTCTCTGTGAAATTTCAAGTCGAAACATGCAAATTTTGGACAGATCTTTGATTTAGTGCGGCTCATCCAACACACCCTGTATAATGTGCAAAAACCATATTAACAAAAGTTGATACGGCCTATATAGACAAATGGAAGAAACCGCCAATCGAATCATTCCCCAAGATGGAACTAAATTTTCAATTTTTTGCCCATAATTGGCACACCCGGTAGATATTTCTGATATAGCCCATAGTCTCGTGTCGATACCTTGAACTTTCAAATAGTCACTTTAAAATCGGAAAAGAACAGGTGGTTATGCGATTCGACAGCGAGCGGAGAACAGTAAATAACACAAAATATGAAAACTTAATTTTTCGGCAACTCTCTGCAACATCCGAGATATGAAATTTTGTAGTGTAGATACTTTCGAAAAATTCCATTTAATCGATTTTTTAAAAGTAACAAAGTCTTTTTTCCCAAAAAAGTTCCATTTTATCGACAATCGACCAAAATAATGTGTTCAACATATAAACATTAAAAGCCAGTAAACTAATAAAACAAAATATACTTTTCAACAACGCATGTGCATAGCAACTCACCGTTTACTATTTTTTGTGTTCTATCTGAACCGAACGCGCCCTGTATATACTTTAGCGCGACGAGACACGAAAACAAGGGGATTTATCTCGTGTTGATGGAGCGCAACTTGCCAAAACACAACCGCAGGCAGGTTGCACTTCCTTTGTTGATAAAATGTTATCGCAGTTGAGAAAAATCTTCGATAACGACATGCACGGTGGGTAGGTGCAGTATATGCTGCGGATATCAAGGTTGCGTCATTGGAGAATGTAGTGCTCGGGTTTTTGTAATGAATGGAAAGGCAATTCCAGTGCATATACTAAACCAGTAACTTTTAAAAGTGGCTCTAAATAATAATATAAAAAACAGTTATGAGTAGCCTAAACTTACAAAAAATATAAAAAAAATAATGCAAAACTTCTATAAAAAAATGATAAAATAGAAAAAATGTGTTGTACACTTTTGGTAGGCAGGACTGCATAGAGCAAAACTCTAGAGACACAACACTTTGAAGATTCAATTATTGTACAGGAAAATGCTGATCATACAAAAACCAGAAAATAGGAAAACACTTTGACAGCTAATGAAATATAGTTTGCACTTTCGCAACTTACAAATAAATCGAGATCTTTTAATGTATGAAAATTGAAAATTAACAACGATGCTACTAGTGCTTATTCATTCAACATCAAATATTAAATATATTTAGTATTTATTTATGTAATATTTAGTGATGCAGCATTAGATTTAGAGTAAAATGACATCCTGTACTGTGGGCTAAACAATGAGTAGTCTCAGAGGTATAGTTAATTTGATGCGTTACAGAAAAATATGAATCAAATTGTAGCTGGTAGAATGACATCGGGATTCAGCTCTCCATATCGATTTTTTTTGGCGGCCTGGTCAATTTTTATTCAATTTTTTTTGGGAACAGTCGATCTGGAGGTATACGGTATACACGTAATGCATCGAAAACGACTGATGGCCAAATTTTATTTCGCTTATCACCACGAAAGGAGAAAGCTGACTGGTATAATCTTTGTGTCGAAACCCGTAGCCTGCGAAATCGTTTATAAACCGGGTGTCTCTTTCCAATAAATGAGAAACAAATGTCGCAAGTTACAAGTGTTTTTTTTCCCTTTTTACCTGGGGTGACAATCTGGACACCAAATTTTGGAGAGTAAAATAATTGCTACAAAATAATTTTACTTGGTTGTTAAAAAAAAAAGCATGGAAAAGTTTGAAAACCAAAACATCCACCTTTTCGACTTAAGTAAATTAATGTTATACCAGGTCCCAACTAGTTTATAGGACCAGTTTTATGGCTTATTAAAAATTCCTTTTCGCCGTTGCAGAACTTGGTTTATAAAAACATTATTTAAAGAGATGTCTTAAAACTCATTTCACATTGCCATGCAACTTTTTTTCCTCTTCAACTTGGCATATTAAGTCTCGTTTGTATTCTATCCTCATCGATTTATTTTCTTATATACAGACCTGGTCCTCAAAGAAAACAATTTTTTTTTAAACTAAGATAATAATAAGATAATGGTTCTGGAACGAAACGTCGTAGATACAATCTAAATACATCTTATAAAAAACAATAAAACTTTCAATCTTGGGTTTTCTTCCTAAAATCAACCGATTTCGAAAGATTTAACAGAGTAATTTCGATTTTTATAAATCACCTTGTATTTCTGAAACAAACGGAAATTTGGAAAAGACAATAAGACACTTTTAACACGTTTTAAGATAAACATCCTTTTTTCTATTTAACCGTAACCGTAACTTTAACCGTTCCGCTGCAGTCCCGATGGATTAGTTTGGACCAAGTATAGACCTTCACTACACTTGGACGAGAAAATTCTTGTCGCCGTATCGGTAGACCGATGAAATTCTCGTTCACTTGACCCGATTCGTGCAGGCCTATTGTTTTCTTCTTTAAGGTCTTGCGCAAGAGCTTATATGGAAAACTTCGGTGTCGACGTGATGGTCCTCTTAAACAGCCACGTACGCGCATCTAATTACCTGGGTTATACCAGCTATGGCGTTGTATACCAGATAAAGATATTAGTGAAATCATCTACCCCGGTACAAGTTTCTTCTTAAAATTCGTCGATGGAATTAAATTCTTTTTGGAATCTTTTGTTGATTTGCTGTTTCCTTTGTAACCTGTTATTTGTTTCTCACCTATATATTGCTAGTTATAACTACTCCGACACATTCACCCCTAGCACTACCTTTTTCTATGGTTCCAGTCACCGACATGGAAGAACTGCCCGACATTAAACAAGAGCTTTGTGCCGCCGGTCAGAGCTACCAAAGCGACTCAGGCGTCTTCTCTGCCAACACGACTCAGGGCGACGCTGACGCCCGCAGCGACTGCAGCTCGCCCGAACGCAAGTACGTCTGTCCGATCTGCGATACCATTTTGGCGTCGCAGCACGACTTCACCCTCCACATCAGATCGCACAACAACGAATCCGAAGAGCAAAAGTCGTTCTCTTGCAAGATATGCCGCAAGGTGCTCAGCTCCAACTCTAGCCTCGACAGGCACGTGTTGGTTCACAGCGGCGAGAGACCTTTCCAGTGCAAGCACTGCGGCGACACATTCACCACCAACGGAAACATGCACCGGCACATGAGGACTCACTCGACCAAAGAGAACTACGAATCGGATGGCAGTACGACAGACAGCGGCAGCTCCAAGAGCACCGAGTTTAACAACAACAAAGTAGACACGAAATTCAACAACAAGAGGAAGCTGGACACGACCGATTACGTTAGCAAAAGACGTGAAACGCGTCGCGATGGCGAAGAAACGTCGCGATTCCAGTGCCCCGTGTGCGACAGGTCGGATTTCAGTACCGTCGGCAACTTGGATGCTCACCTGGAAGACAATCATCCAGAGTATCCGGCCAAATGCACCTTGTGCAAGCAAGTGTTCTCCAATAACAAACTGTTGATGGTCCACAAGGCGGCGGCTCATGAAACCAACCAGCCCAAACACCCATCTATACTCGGGTTCAAAGATTTGACCTTCGTTGATTTCTCCAGCAACAAGTTCCCTATCATCGCTAAGCACGAGTGCGAAACGAACCTCCATAAGGTGGCGGGAGGATTAAAGTTTCAATGCCGCAAATGCTCGCGAGCTTTCCCTTGCTCCAGCTCTCTGGAGATCCACGAGAACTCCTGCGCGGACGTGCAGGCTTTGAAATCGCACGACCAGAACATATCAGGTGCTGACATCAGACGCGCTGAGTTTTTCTCCAGGTTGAACTTGATGCAGGACGAGAAATTCGCAAAAGAAGACCCGATCAAACTCAGGGAACACCTCGCCAAAGCGATGGACAACACGAGAGACTTAGCCGACATCCAGTCGATCTTATCCAACATCAACCTGCAGAAGATGCACGCCAAACCGGCAGACCACAAACCCGCAGTCAAACCCAACGTCGAAGACTGCTCGAAGGGCGAACAGGACGAGGAGTCGCAGGACTCATTCGCCATAGAGTTCAGGAAAATGAAGATGCGAGGCGAGTTCCCCTGTAGACTGTGTACCGCCGTGTTCCCGAACCTGCGCGCCCTCAAGGGCCACAACAGAGCCCATTTGAACGGTAACGCCAACGGCACGTACTTCTGCAACATGTGTCCTCACTCGTCCGTCGATAAGGCGGCGCTTATCAGGCACATGCGCACTCATAACGGCGACAGGCCCTACGAATGCTCACTTTGCAACTACGCATTCACGACCAAAGCAAACTGCGAGAGACACTTGAGGAATCGGCATTCCAAGACTACCCGCGAAGACGTAAAGAAATCGATTATTTACCACCCCTCCGAAGATCCGACCAACGACGATCTCAATAAGCTCAATGTCAAAGACGAACCGAAGAAAACTCCGACCCCATCGGGAGTTGACTTGAGCGACTTCAATCCTGTCAAGCTTCACTGTTCCACTCCCAAAACGGAGACCAAGCCTGATTTTGCTTCACCCCCTTTGATTCCCGACCTACAGGCACTGCAACCTACCAGGTTTCCAGCAGCGGTCGACTTTATTCGTAACGAAAACATTCGATCGTTAAAGAGAGGCATCTCGAATTTCTTCCCCCAGCCATTCGGTCTCCTCCCCAAGCCCGAGAACCTAACACCATCCCTCCAGGTGAAAAAACTCGACCAGTTGCAAGACCAACCACGAGTATTCGAGCCTGAACCTTACCGGGAAGAACCGCCTGTGGTGGAAGAGGCCCTAGATTTAAGCAAGAAAAAAGTAGAGCCTGCGGACGTGGCCATGGACGTTCCTCAAGACCTGACCAAAAAGTCGTCGCCAGCATCGCCGAGATTTCCCATTAACGAGCTGCTGTTGAAATCGCCTCCACAGATTGACCCAGCCGCCCTTTATGCCACCCACCTAGCGCACCTCTACCGAAGCGGTTTTCCTGGATGGACGGGCTTTCCAGTCAACCCCCTGCTCTTCCCCGCCTTGCCCGGTCCTCAAGAGATCAAGGAGCGCATGCAACGGTTTCAATTGTGCGGAGGCAGCGTCATTGGCGAAGACTTTAAACCATTCCCGAATATTCCGCCTCCAACGGCCGACGTTACGGCTGCTAATTTGACCCGGGAACCAGAGATGAAACCGTTGAATCTAAACGTGGAGACCGGTTTCAGCGACAGCAGTCCGAGGCTTCAGAGTCCTGGTCAGCAGACGGTCAACGGAGACCCTATGCAGTCGCCCAACTCGGTCAAAATGGTAATCAAGAACGGCGTGTTAATGCCGAAACAGAAACAGAGGCGCTACCGGACGGAAAGACCGTTCACCTGCGAGCATTGTTCAGCTAGATTCACGCTGCGCTCGAACATGGAGCGACACATCAAGCAGCAACACCCTCAGTATTGGTCGCAAAGACAGAGAGGTAATATCGGCCACCCACCCAGGAAGATGGTGAGCGGTGTAGTGACGAAACCGACCTTTTGCGACTTGAACGTGCCCAGTTTCGAGATGCCGAAAGTGTACGACTACCAGGAGTCGAAGGAACAGATCAGCGAAAAGTTGAAGTACGCGATACTCGCGCAGCAGTTGCGCTCGAATCTTGGAGGAGGAGCGAAACCCATAGAGAACGGTAAGAAAGAGGAAGACGAAGACTGCGAATTGGTGATCGACGAGAACGATGATGTCAACGGCCAAAGGAGCGATCAAAAAGCAGTAGGAAAGGGAGAGGAGGACCTGGTACCGGTGTCGAGGTTGCTTGATAACGCGTCGCAGCAGCAGTTTAAACAGTTTTTTAAGCGGGATCCGGAAGACTCGGAGGTGGGGGCGAGCGAAGAAGACGAAGAGGGTTTAGTAGCGGGCGGCAGCACCAGCGAGGAGAACGTCTCCGGGACCGATGAAAACAAGTAAGTATTTCCTTCTATCGTTAAGTCAACACTTGTAAGATCTTGTATTCCTCAAACTTCTTGCAACACTAAAGAGTGAATTTGTGTGGTTGAACCATTAGCCTAAACCGGACACTCTTTCCAGATCGGAATCGGAAACTGCGGCAACCGCAGCACCGGCCAAGAAGAAATCCGCGTACTCTCTAGCTCCCAATCGAGTCAGCTGTCCGTATTGTAGCCGAAAATTCCCTTGGACCTCCTCTCTACGACGCCACATCCTCACCCACACCGGTCAGAAACCGTTCAAGTGCAGTCACTGCCCTCTCCTCTTCACCACCAAATCCAACTGCGACCGTCACCTGCTGCGAAAACACGGCAACACGGCAACCACCATCACCAACGAGGTGGCTGGCAACGCAGCGGCGGCAGCAGGCTACCTCATGCGGAATGTACCTGAGAGGCCGTTTAAGTGCTCCAGCTGCCCTAGCAGCACTTTCTCCACGTACTCCAACCTGAAAAAACACATCAACGGCAAACACTCGACCAATGCGCAAGGCGACGACATCAAAGCTCAGGGTTACGAAGCTGGCAGTTCTGAGGACGAGAAAGGAGGGACCCAAACTGAGACTAAAAACGAATGGGAAAACCAAATCGGATACGGCAGGTTCCCCGTCGAACCGCACGCAAACCAAACGCTCAACTCTGATCTGCCTTTTAAGTGTCATTTATGTGAAGGTTCGTTTGCCGAACGTCACGACGCTTTAGACCATACCAGGGACAAGCACGCTTCCGAATACGATCTGCTGATGTCCAAGAATGCGTTGGATACGAATGCGACTACACCAGATGATGCTGCCCACCATGACGACGACGACCAAGACGCTCGGGGCAAGTTCCCAGATTACAGTAACCGGAAAGTGATATGCGCATGGTGTATGCGAAGGTTCTGGTCCGCAGAAGATCTGCGCAGACACATGCGCACACATACAGGTGAACGACCGTTCAGCTGCGACATCTGTAGGCGTAGGTTCACCCTGAAGCACAGTATGTTGAGGCATCGAAAGAAACACAACGTTAATGGAGGTCCGGATCAGGATGGAAACGGGAGCGAGGATGAAGGGATAGAGAAAAAGAACGGCGAAAAGACAGACGAGTCGGACGGGAACGAGGGTGATCTTATCAGTAACTTGTTGGGAATTAGGGACAGGTCGATCATAGATCGGGTGTTGGACGCGACTGCTGACGACGCAGCTAAACTGCTAGGCGTGAAACCCAACATTAAGTAACGCAGCAGGGTTGGGGGTATTTTTATTTCAATAAATTGAATGGGTTTTTGGTATTCGCCAAACGGAGCCGACACGAAGTCTGTAGAAACAGGACGATACAGGTGTGAGCGATGACCGTTACGCTATTATTTATTTCAGGGAGTTGGTTTGCCCGACCGAATATTGACACACAATTCTAATAGATTTCTCACTAGATACCAATATGTTCTACTTTTGCTCTAACGCCCTTAATATTTTAAAACAATAGATCAAATAGATCAAAAACTCCAAAAATAAAAACCGAAAACTTAACACAAAACATTAGTAAATAGTAGATGATTTATCTCAAAACACATATAAATGCTTTTGTAAACCGTAACCTCACTTACTGTTTGGTTAAAATGTTGGACGAGTCCAAGTTCTTCCACTTGATTCATATTCCACTGACTTGAACCTAATAATGGCAAAGTGCAATAGGTATCCTAATTGTAAACTAATTTATTAGACTGTTCCTGAAAAGCTGAAAGGTACAAATCCTCCTTACGGCTTCAAAGTAAACAAAAAAAAACAAGCTAAACGCTAAACGCTTGACAACTTGACAAAAATATTAAAAATTATCAACGATGCATATTCCATATTATGTTGTTGTTGTTGTTATGAAACATTGGGCTGCTCGCTTATTTATGCATATATTGTCGTTTTAAGTAAATTTCCAAATGGACAAGGACGAAACGACCCGAAATGCTTAAGTGAGGTTATAGTCACATTTTCACTAGGTTACACAGTAATTAAATCAAATCAACAGGTTCGCAAAAAACGTTTTCTCTCTGTGGTCCGCTACTGCCAAAGAGATTATCGAGTATCGATCCAGTTCACACTTTAAATATTTGCCACTTGCCTGGATCGCTCCGTCTGCGCCTCGGGACATCGTGTTGGCTTCCGTACTCGCGCAGAAAGGGAAAACAACCGAAAAGAATTGTGCCGATGGTAGCGTCACAAACGCCATTTATTTCGGACAGGTCAGAGCCGTGTTACGCATATATTTTCGAACTGCATAACGAAAATTATTCGGTTATTTTCTGTTTTATTTAAGGTGTAGGGTTTTACGTGAAGTAATGATATAAAATATCGATTTTCTCTAGTCAGGTTTATCCAATAATATAAGCATTCGATGCGAATGTTGCTATTTTATCTAACTTTTGTTATGACGTTTTTAATGACAAAATCAAAAATCGAGTGATTTAGAGTGTAGTAGACTAGTAGACAGTTTTACGTATATATCTGAGTATGTTATAAATTATTTTCCATTTTCGTTGTATTTTGTACATATATTAATTTAACAGAATACGGTCTAGGTATACCAAAAAGTAAATTATTCCACGGTTGTGCGGCGTTGCCGCATCGCGGTCGCCGAAAAACTGAAGATTTTGGGTGTGTACATAGATATTGTAGTGCATTCGCCTTATATCTTATAGAAAAATAATGTGTCTTACATTGTTGCCTCAAAGTTTATGTATATACACAGTTTACAAGCAATATATCTATTCTTTTAAATATATATTTATACATGAGGTTTCTCGAGCGTTCTAAATAATTAGCTTAAAAAGATTAAAACTGCACCTAGAATAATGTGTTATGAAAATTTGGAAATTTTATTCGTTTTTTTTTATTTCGTTTGTTTGGTAGGGTCGGACGATACTTTCAAGTGATTGTTTAATGATGCAATTATATTAATGTTCGCGTACATGTCGGGAGGGTAAAACATTTTTAGCGATGGCAACACTGTCGGCAGCTGTTGTCTGTTATTTAATTGCAAGCTTGTACAAAAAGCAATTATTTGCATCGTTAAACAAGTGTAGATAAATTTAGTGTTAAGTTGTTTCAAATCGGTAAAGTAATTCAATAATTTGAAACATTTTTTTTCTTCGAATTCTCTATAAAAGCTAGACGTAAGGTTTTTCTTTTTGTTTGCACATTGTATAATGTATTTTTCACACATGTTCACACCGCGTGTCTTATTACGAGCTTTTGATGAAAACCCCTTATTTCCGCGTGGAAGGTTTCTTCGGATGAAAAGCTATTTTTAGAGTCTTTGAAGCAATAAAGTATGTTAGATTCGTAAGAGGTTATCGTTAGATTAATCGCGGGTATTTCCCTGACCATCATGTTTGTATCATTGTAAATTATTGTCTATGCCATATTACGATGTACTTAAGTTGTTTGGTTTGAAATGTGCACCCGGAAAATTGTCATTTGTTATGTACCTTTTCTTTTACGCTATTTAAATAAATTGTCATATAAAATAAACCTGTTTGCTTTTTTTTCCTAGCTTCTAAAAATACTGCAAAGTTTAAACGAGGTTTAACTTTAAAACAGATCGACCAAGCCGTCCATGGCCGTTACTATAATGAATGTTGACACACTGCAGATAAACATTTGACATCTTAGCAAAAAGTTTTAGGTTATAAGTTAAACGGTTGTTTGCATAAAGTTTATTTGAGGTAAAAATGCCGAGAAGTACTCTGATTGATTTAGATGTTGACAAATTGTTTGAGGAGAAAAGTGTAGATGAAATTATAGAGATAGAAAAATTAATAAATGGGGAAATTGACAAAAAACGATCAGAACTTCGGTCTATGGTGGGGTAAGTAACGGGTATCGCTGTTGTGGCAAATCTAACGAAAAACTGTCATGAAGGGATCGCTATAAAGACATACTAGCCGCCTCAGATGCCATAAAGTCAATGAAAACTATATCCGAAGACATTGTTAAAACTATTGACCAAATTACGAATACATGCAAAATATTAATAACAGCACCGGATTCACCTAAAACAAATGCTACACGTGATACTATCCTTCTCAAGTAGGTGAGTAAATGAGCTTAGGACTTTATATAAAGATGTCGCAATTTTGCAGAAGAAAGAATGAAGAGCGTACTTTGATAATTCAGCTGAGATTAGCAATTTCTCTTAATGAACAAATATGGATCGCTATTGAAGAAGAAGACAATTTAATCGCAGCACAACATTGCTTGTTGGCCCAACATATCTACATGGGTATAAATATTTAACTAGCAAATACACATATAAATAGTTATTCCTGCAGGTCTGGACTTAACTGATTGGAGGTACTTAGAGAATATACATTTATTGGAACATTTGAAGCAAAATTTGTCTAGTCTTAAGTCCAAAGTTTTCCGAAACATCTCTGAAAAGTTAGAATATATGGAAATCAACTCAGATGTGAATTGATATCTGTCAATGTGGGTTCGCTATTACCAAATTGGATGTTTTAGGAAGCCAGTAAAAATTTGAATGCCCTAATGCTTTTGGAGAATCAAACGGGGCTCAAAATACTGGAGAAATGTATTGAACATCGAAAGGCAGCATTGGATGGTGTTATTTCGTCCCAACATCCTAGTATAAGATTGTTAGTTATGGCAGTGATTAGGTGTTTACTTACGAGTGTCATATTATTCCATGACTGCTTTATTAGTAATCAGTTCAAGTGAATCGTTGAACATTAGTGGTATTGTTTTTGTTTTTAGAGGCTAAAGAAGGCAAAACGCAGAATAACGAGGACTACTTAAATATTCAAATGCCAGTTACCCCTTTGCTCTCCTATATCCCAGATGTGGTGAGGCAATACAGGTATTTATTTTCAAAGGTCCATGTCAAGTCCATCGAGTAAACTCCTTTTAGACCTCAATCCCCAGTTTTACAAGTGGATAAATTGAATGCCAAAGGCTTGGTTAATAATTGGCTACTCTGTGTGAAGCAATCAGTAGAGGAGGGATTAAAAAAATCTCTGCAATCTGTAACTACTGTCAAGGCTTTGCAGCTGATTCGTGAGGAGTATAATAAAATTAGTAATTCCATATAAATATGGGAGCTTCTTTGTATTTACTATAATTTTCTAGAGATGCCTGAGAACTGGATTCAAATTTGTGTGGATTTGCACTTTCCAGAAAGCTTTGACATGTGGCAGTACTTTTTACAAGATTTGTTGACCTCCAAAGCCAAAAGCCTTATCTCCAGTATAATTTCGCGCAACACAGAAGAGATTAAAAGTGATGTTACTGCGGTGCTTCAAAAAATTGCTAAAACTAAGGATTTCGAGGTTGATTTAAGAGGTTACGCCTGGACTGAGGAGCATTCGGATGTTGATAAAGCAGATCCAAGTCACACAGGTACTTTTTTCTTAGTACACTTGCACTTTTATTTATGTGTAATTTCCGATTTGACAGGTTTAATTATGAAAACCAAAGGGTTTTCCCAAACCCTCATAAATCTCTGTGGGACAGTCGACTCAAAATATTTAGCACTGCTAAAAGATGTTTCGCCATATTTGTATGGTGTTGAAGTGCCTGATAGCTCCAGTAATGGACTTGTCACCACAGGTAAATGTAGGAAATATGTTGATGGTGCCCAATTGGAAAATCATTTAGCAGAGGAATGCATAAGTTACTCACTACGGTAAGTGAATTTTGAAAATATTAAATTTGTATGTAAGTGGAGAAGTGTTTTCTTTATGACAAAAATTCAATGAAATAAATGATGTTATATAAACACTATTATTCATATATAAATCTTCCAAAATGGAAATAGGAAAACAGCGAAGTCTTAAACTCCATCATATTTTGTAAAAGAACATTGCAACGCCCAAAGCACTGACTAGAAATAGGTTTTGCCTGATTTTATAATTTGAAAAGCACTAGATAAGATAAGTGCTTTTGTAAATAGTTACTCCGCATTTGTCATAAAAAGCATGAAAATTTTATAAGACAGTAGCATAGCTTTATAAAATAAGGAATAAATATAATTGTTACATTTCATAAAACTTGTATGTTGTATTTTTTTTACTTGTGGAAGAGCGGCAGCTTTGTTCAAGAGGGAGGGAGCCTGAAAGTTTGCTAAAAAATGCGGATGACTCCTACCTAAATTGGAAGAATTAGCAAGGTACTAATCCAACCCACAACCTTCGGCAGTTGGGCCGCATCTGGCACTGGGAGACATAAGGGGAACGCGCAAAATTTAACACAAAACCAGAGAGACACAAGCGTTATTGCCTGATTTTTCTACTTATGTTTATAAATAAAGTCATAGACATGGAAAAACTACGAAAAACCTTTAACGAGTTCTTGTAAACCGCCGTTGTTTTGTTAGTATAATCAACGTCACGTGATTGGTATAACCAATGGGTTAGGCGGTTATCAATACCAATGAAATAAGTAGACATAGGGAACCTTTTCCTAAATTGGACTGAGGTGGCTTTTATTTGATGAAAATTCATTTAACACAATTAAATTAAAACAAAAAATGTTCAGATTTTCAGTTATTTAATGATAGTTAGAATCCGAACTTTTATTTTTATACGCCCTTTTATGTTCGTTAATGCGTTTCTTAAATCTTCTACCGGTTTGTCCGATATAAATTTGGGGACAGGATCCATATTTCAACTTGTAGACTCCAAATTTTTGAGTTTTTCGGAATTTAGTTTTGTTTTTTAAAAAATGTTCTATGGTGTTTTCAGTTTTAAAAGCAATCTTAAGACAGAATTTAGATAGATGTTTCGAAATTTTCTTGCTAGGCTCTCCTACGTATTTTATTGTTTTGGGTTCGATGCGTAATATGGGATAGATAGAGTTCAGAAACTGCTTTTTAGTTATAATCTTATCTATCACAGAAGGGTGGTGACCATTGTTAATAGCCATTTGTTTAATAATATTTAATTCTTTTCCAAAATTTTTTTGTGGAAAATGGTATATTAAGTAATCTGTGGATAAAAGCATAAAAAGCAACCATTTTGTGTGTGTAAAGGTGATATGAGTTATTATGTATTATTGTGTCCGTGTGTGAGGGTTTACCATAAATTGAAAAATCTAATTTGTTCTGTAGTTTAGCTATCATTAAGTTCAGAAAGTTTAAAGGGTTATCTAGTTCGCTCTCTATGGTAAACTTTATACAGTTATATATGGAGTTAATATGAGTCAAAAAGGACAAGCAGTTGTCTTTCCGTTCCAGTGAAACAAGCAAAAACATCATATGTATGATATTTTCTGAATTGTCCATAAAAATTTCTGCAAGGAATGGTCTGAGTGGGTTACCCATAATTAATTCTTCTTTAGCAATATAACATTAATCATTAACAAATAATCTTGGTCTAAACAAAGTATTAAACTATCTAGCAAGTCTTGTCTCTAAGTGAGAATATTGTCTATGATGTTTATTATTTTAATTGGTGGAATGCTAGGAAATAAATTTTGAAAGTCAAATGAAACTAGAACTGCCTTAGGAGGAATTTTAATACCTTGTTAATTAGTTCGAACCAATTTGATAACATATCTAGGTTTAAACGCAATATGATATTCTAAAATTTTTCTTAATCTTGTTGAGAATTTTACTGATGGTGCTGTTACAAAAGAAACTACAGGCCTTATTGGCATGTTTTTAAAATTGTTAAAAAGACAAAAAATAGCATTTATCCTGCGAAATTAATATCGTATAGTTCAATGCTGCGGTCGCCATTCTCAAAGTCATTTTCAGGAGTAATGTCTTGGTGTAGAGGTGTAGAGACTTTTTAAAGAAAAGTTAAATCAAGGTTGTCTTCCCATGTTTCTCCATAATGCGTCTTTAGAAATGAAGTTATTGACAATTTGTCACCCTTTACTTGCCAGCCAATATCGAGTTCAGTAATACTTGATCCAAAAGCTGGGGCACTGGTCGCATTCAGCGAACGAAACTGTTGTGAACTGTTACAAAACTGCAGCGGAAACGTTTGGTGCCACATGTGCCACAAACACAAGGCTTTGCAACCGCTATTGATACCTAGCAGTAGCGTTTTGCATTACATACAAGGAAAATACCGCTACATTTTCTGTTACTTTTTAACTTCTCTTTTGATTTTAAACAAACACTATTTGGGGAACCAAATCCAATATTCGAATGGATGTTTCAACCCCAATTTGACACACACTTCTGAACCTTTGAATGATAATTATTCAAAATTTTTGTTATACTTAGGTCACATATGATACGAGTACCGGTTTGATTTCAATGATGAGTTTTTATTGTCAGCTTTTTGTCGTCAGTTTTATCAAGGATGCGATCTCCTCTCCATTTTTCAAAATTTTTCATAACCTGTTCGTTTTGAACTCTGTTAAGGAAAGTAATTTCAGCAGGAGTTGTTGGAATATAATATTTAATAGATCTTTTCCCTGGCAATTTTAGATCTTTTGTATTTTTGCCCTTCACACCAACTACAAAACTATCTTGTTTTTATTTTTTTTACAACTTTGTATGTGAAAATCTTAAATTTGCAGGCATTGCTAATGTGGATCAATAATACGATTTGCTTGGCTATCTATTATGTCCACAGGTGGAAAATTCGAGCAATTTTTAGCAAATTGCAAATAGCTACTAGAGATGTAGTCTAGCCTATAGCCTATGCCGATAATACAAAAAACTATAAGAAAAATATATAACAATAAAAAAAAATTGAGGACTCGCCAGATTTTAAATCTCCTTTTTAACAAATGACCTTGAGGCATTCAACAGTGCCATTAACAGATCGTCGATGTAGAGGCATGCGTGGAAAATCTTGTCTACGAAAATATCAATGCCGCTTGGGGCGCATCAATTTTTACCGCAATAGGGTCACTATATTATCTAGTAGCTATATGACCTAAGAGTGCGAATGCAACTGCAAGTTTTAAACCAGTTTGTCATGCTAAGTCCTATCCCACACATGGCGGTCTAAAGGCGGAATTTCCGTCTGCGGAGTCCACTTGCGAAGGGCGGACCACACATAGAATAGTAGGTTGAATACCACACACTCTAGCGGAAGTGTCGTTGAACGTACGAACGCGATATTGTTTGATGAGAATTTAGTTAACTGTATATGCATCTCGTTGATTAGTAGAATGATGGATATTGATAAATTTATCTAATTAATTCAGCAACGGCCACGTGTTTGCGATAAGGGGGGGGGGGGGGGGGTGAATAAATAGAAAGGGAAGTGCTGGTGGAAAATTTTTGAATTGACGGAAAAAGTTGAGAAGCTTGGACCAAGAGGGAAACTAAACCTAACTAAACTAAACCTAAACCATTTGACTTTTGAAAAAAATAATTTTTCTACTCCCGCCTGTAAAATACCTAATTACCCACCGATCTAGCGTGCGAGAAGCGTCACTTTACCACGTCAGTTTCCTTTCCCACGAATCCGAGCCACTTCGGACATTTCCTTCCGGGATTTTACCTCACGGATTTGGAAGCAATCGGATGTTTTCGGAGATATTTCCCACGCTTTGAATTTTGACATTTGTCACTTCTGACGGTCATGTCAGTGAATGTATTCGTGTTGTTTTGCGAAAATGTACCCAAAATCTAACGGTTGTAGAAAAAGTATAGTATGCAACACGTTCGGTAAACTTTTTAACTCGTTTATTAAACACTCGCTCCGCTAGTGTCAAATAAACTCGTGAGTCAAATGCCTTTTACCGCACTTGTTGCATAATATGCTATTCTATATCTCGAAGTTTTACGTTCACGATGCCAGTTAACAGTATCGTCTAAAAATGAATATAAGTAAAACCAAGTTCATAATAATAAGTAAAAATGACATCCGAAACTGTTTATCAGGCAGATTCAGCTAGAAATATGGCCCAAATTCAATTATTCGATTATTAATGAGCAATGGGCCACTCTAGAGAGATTAAATGCCGAATAAAAGAAGCAAGACAAAGTTTAATTAAATTTTAAAACTGTTTAAAAGCCACAATGTGAACCTAAACATCAATCACAATCCTTCGATGTTACGTTTTCTCGACACTCTTCTACTCTTCTAACATTTCAAAATGTGGCTATACAGGAGAATTCTGGGGATCTACAGAATGTCTAATGAATCAGTACTGGAAAGAATGAGTAAAGGAAAGTATTTGACAATTATTATAAAAAGAAAAAACTTGAATATCCGGTCTATATAATGCCAATCAAAAACCATATCTATAACCATTTGACGTTAAAACTTGTATTCTTTATCTGAAAAGTAATGTGCTGGCATTTGTTTCTTAGAGACGAAAAACCGACGAAAGCGGAAGCGGATCTTATTCCGCTAAGTTACCTCCTCCTTTATTTTGCCCCATAATACTTAAATACGTTAATATGTATTAGAGAGAGTGTTTTCAAATTTTTGTTCGAAAGCGAGTTTTGCATCTCGGGCACTCAGGTCTCGTCAGAAACCCTATTGAACGTACATTCAAATATTGTTCATTTCCAAAATCCAGTAATACCTTTACACGCAACGCCCTTTTTTTAAATTTTATCATAGGTTACCTGCGTTTATAGAGGAGCAAATAAGTACCGACATGGACGTGACCAAGGTATCGAAATCGTTGTTCTTTGCGAGATTTTTGGGCGCTGCTTGCGAAATGTGCACAAGCTTTGTTAGGTCCTGCCAATTTAACGGCGACGCTACCGGTTGGAATCGCGTGTGCCGCGACTTCTTGTCGTCCAGTGACCGTTTGTGGGGGAATTGGGTCGACGCCTGCGTAAAAGTCACCGTCCATCTTTCCAGAGAGATGAACGACACGGGTCCGAAAAAAGTGATTCGAGAATTATACGTACGTAAAATGTCTTATAGTGCTGGTCGATCATTTATGCTTAGATGCTTCATTTTTTGGTGATATTTTAAAAATGACTGAGACACCTGTGCACACCTTAATAAATTTGTTTCCTGTAGCTTCGGAACTAAGTGGAACTTTTCTTTTATAAAAACCACAAGGTTCTATCTTTACTATTTAATTAAACCGAAAATATTACAGGCGATTGACACGTGTCACACAACTGACGCATATAAACGGACCTTTAGGGGACATTCGGCGTTAAAATCGTATTTTGGTCTAATTTCAGAAGTGGGATGAGATCGAGATCCAGGAACAAACCGAGGAGAAAACGTTCAAATCCCATATCAGGGTACCGCTCAGACCTAGCGTTTCGCTCGTAACCGTTCTGGCCAAGCTCAACGCCGATCTCGCGCAAATACTACCGTTTACTCTGCCCAATTCCATACACGACCAGTTTTTAATGCGGAACTCGCGCGTCATTTTGGCCGAATATGAAAAAATCGTCTCCCAACCCCTTAACCAGATAACAGCGCTGCAGTTTTTGTTTGACGTGCGATTTTTCGTTAGCCTCTGCGTTCCCAGGGAAAACGTAGATGTAGGGGGCAACGCTCAGCGCATTTGCGACGAGCTAAGACAAAAAATCGACCCATTCGACCTCGATGTCTTCTATTCGTACCTACAGAGTAACGTGAAGAAGGCCGTCGGGCAGCTTCAGACGATGTTCGGGGGTCTCGTGCCTTACAACGCTCAGCCGCACGCCACTGAGACTGTGCCGGCCAAGCACAAAAGTCAAGAAATAACGCCGTCGCTACTTGCATTAAGTAAACCGTCGTCTGACGCTTGGTTTCCGTTGTTGCCGATCACAGGGCCGTCGCATAAGGTCGCCCCGCCTTCCGGTAACCTGGAAATTAAGGTGGGTGAATATTTTGATGCTTTGTAGTTCCATGATATGGTTCTTCCGGTACTTCAATACTGAATGGTCGTTCCCATCAACATTTTTATGGGTCACCTAAGTTTAGGTAAGGGTAGACTTTTGTTTGCTAGAATTCTAAAGTAATCACTAAGACACTTTAACAATAACAATCGTTTAATTTTTTTACTTGCACTTTGTATTTTTTCAACCGGCTAAGCTATTACTTAAGATGTGACACTTTTAAAGACTTGGGTGTAACATTTGACCTGACCTTTGGAAGCCTTCATCAAGCCTGAAGAGAACATATTTTAAAATTGTTTACTTTAGTTATGTACGTACAGTGGTGTCCATTTAAGATACTCCGACACCTTATCTCAATAAGTACTCCACTGAGAAAAAAAAGTTAAATACAAAAACGTTTGACTCTAGTATTTTTATGTATACAGGGTGTTCAGTTGTGCCAGGACAGTAGCCAACTTTTTTTTTAAATGAAATGCTATGAATATTTTTAAAAATTCTAATTACAATTCGGTGGACATTTTTTTTCTGCTACTTGTGTCGAAAATGCGTGAGAAATAGTATTTTCTCAAATTATTGATGAGTGCTTGTAATGGTTGTTTTCTGTTTTGCGATGGGATAACTAAATAAATTGCTGGTTGCATATGCATGCATTAAAATGGCTAAGGTTAGCAAACGTGTTAAGTCAGTAATTACTGATCATAATGGTATGAAGTTGCTATCTTTGATATCAAAGTATCGTAATCTCGTGATTTTCCAAGTGACTTTTATTATTGTGGGATTGTAATATTGTAATATCATAGATTACAAAATAACTAATTTTCTATCTTCTACTTTAAAATACCCAATTATGCACTGACCAAGCTTGCGCAGTGTCATTTTAAGGCGCTTGTCAGTTCTGATGTCCCTGTCACACCTCGCTCAGTGAATGAGATTCATGCTATTTTGCAAAAATATTTGCTGACCACATGTTTTTACTTTCTTAGTGCTGCTGTTAGAGATATGTTTTTAAACACGTATTTGAACTAAGGCAAATTAATATTTTTCAAGCCAGATAAACAGGTTTCCTCTATTGCAGGAAGAACGGAAAGCCCCCGGGAAAACGCTCCACGAGTCGTTCTCCTCGAGACAGCTCGCCACTTCCATATTCGGAGGCATCGCCAGCGACTGGTTCTCTTAATGTCCCAAATAATGCAGTCTCTTTTTTTAAAGCTTTAAGGAAAATAAAACAAAGCAAAAAAAAATACTTCGCATTTTATTTGACACATTCAAAGGGGCCTCGGCGAAATTAAAAATAAATATTAAAAATAGTAACATATAAAAAATAACTCATCTATAAAGTGTAACTGAATAGTGACGTCTCGAAAACTTAAAACTCTTCCGGGCGGCGCCAAAGTAAAGGGATTATTTGCTTTTGCGTGACATGTCGTTACATAAGGCCTCCATTTAAGATATTCCAACACACTATCTCAATAAATACTACACTGAGAAAAAATGTTAAATACAAAAAGTGTTTGACCCTAGTATTTTTATGTATACAGGGTGTTCAGTTGTGCCAGGACAGTAATCAACTCTATTTTTTAAATGGAATGCTATGAATATTTGTTAAAATTATAATTACAATTCGCTTGATTTTGGGAATTTTTTGTCATTACATAAGCATGCCAAATTTTGAGATTTGATAAAAATGAACTTTTCCACTTTTTTGCCGAAAAACAGGCCTTGGAAAAATGTGTTTTTTTATACTTGAAAACTAAAATTGGAAATTTTTATTATGGATCCATGATCCATAATATATAATAATATATAATGATATATAATTCTTTGACCTATCCACGGCGAAAAAATACATACAGTTGCCAAAAATTACCATCAGAAAATGTTTTTTCCAATTAACAAAAAAAAAACATTTTTTTATTTATAAAAATTCCGTATGTATCACGTTTATTGGGCTTGGTATTTAATTCTGTATCATTTCATATACATATATAGCTTGCTAGTTTAAAAGTTATGGCCATTTTTCTACAACTCGTGTATTTTATTATAATATATTATCCTAAGTGTTTTACACATTTATTACTTAATTTTAATATAAAATCAACAAGTAATGCAAGTAAATAAAACTTATTACTAATTACAAAACATTTTTTAGATAACCTCCCTCCATCGTTGGCATATGGTTTCCATTTTCGCAATAGCATTTCTAACCGCGTCTGTTGCATTAAGTCTTTCTACCTCTTTCCGAATTCTCATTTTATTTTCTAACACGCACTGCGACAGATTATATAAAATACTGGGCCTATTATTCGATTACCACACATAAACACTTCTCAGAGCCTGTTTCTTAATTTCTTTTTTCTACTCCCGTCTGTAAAATACCTAATTACCCACCGATCTAGCGTGCGGGAAGCGTCACTTTACCAAGTCAGTTTCGTTTCGGGTTTTTACCGTACGAATTTGGGAGCAATCGGATGTTTTCGGAGATATTTTCCACGCTTTGAATTTTGACGTTTGTCAATTCTGACTATCATGTAAGTGAATATATTCGTGTTTTGCGAAAATTTGACCAAAAACTAACGGTCGTAGAAAAAGTATAGTATGCAACACGTTCGGTAAAGTTTTTAAGTCACTCGTTTTTTAAATACTCGCTCCGCTCGTGTCAAATAAACTCGTGAGTCAAATGCCGTTTATCGCACCTATTGTATAATATACTATTTTTTATTCGATTATTGATTATCACTCCATGTTCAAGATAACGAACAATTCGTGAACAAATATGTTTCATGGGTACCCATCTTGCAGGATACAGCAAGCTATATTCTCTTAGGCATAATGCTGGACTCTTATTATTACTCACGAAGATATAAAAGTTGTTCGACACTGTAAAATTCAATTTTTTCTTAAAGTTGGTAACAAATAAAGGTTAAATAAAAACTGGGCACTTCTGTTCAGGTAAGCAACTATTTTATTAGTTCTTTTTTTCCATGGATATCTTGTAAAAATAAGACGCCGGTTCGGGGGGTTAGAAAACGTTTTCTCAGTAATAAGTTCTATTTACCAGCATTATTTGTCGATTTTGTATTCAATTTAAGTAATTCATATTTAATAAAAAAACTTTTATGTTGTTATGTTATGAGTTGTTGCAGAAAACTGGCCATAACTTCCAAACTACCATTTTTTGTAATAAAAGCTATATAAATAAAAGTTTTCCATTTGTGACCACCCTGTATAATATATTTTCGCCATAGATAGGTCCAAGTATTAAATATTCACCACTTCCATGGATCCATAATAAAAAATTCCAATTTTAGTTGACAAGTGAAAAAACATTTTTCCAAAGACCTGTTTTTTTAGCCCATGCACTAAAGTCGTAAATGTTGGGAACGAAAGCGGGGACCAAACTAGAGACAAATTGGAAACATTTCCTATGGTGAGCATCACGCCAAATACAGAATTACCGATATCAAACCAAGTAGAGGTCAAATCCGGTGCAGATGCCGCAGCGAATTTAACTCCCACATTAGTTGAAGATGAGAAGACCTTCTCGGAGCAATCAAGCAGTGATTTAAAACCAATTCCGGAACCTACTGCGACAAATACTATTGGGGAGTGTAAAAAACCAATCGTAAATGCTGAGAACGAAAGTGAGGCCCGATCTAAAGACAAATTAGAAGCATCTGCCACCGTGAGTATCACTGCACATGAAGAATTACCGGAATCAAACCAAGTGGAGGTCGAGTCCGGCGCAGATACCGCACCGAATTTAACTCGCGTATTAGTTGAGGATGAGACCTCTTCGGAGCCATCAGGTAGTGATACCCTAGGGGAGTGTAGAACAACAATCGTGGAAGCTGAGAAGGCAAGTGGCAACCGACTTAAATACAAAGTAGAGACATCTGCTAAAGTGAGTATGACGCTAAATGAAGAACTACTGAAATCAAACCAAGTAGAGGTCCAGTCCGGGGTAGATACCGCGGTGCATTTAACTCGCATATTAGTTGAGGATGAGACCAGCAAGAGCAAGCGAGAGACGGAGCAATCAGGCATTAATTTGAAACCAATATCTGAGGCTTCTGCGGCAAATGCTATTGGGGAGTATAAAAAAACAACCGTGAATGCCGATAATGAACGTGAGGATCAATCTAAAGACAAATTAGAAATATCTGCCACCGTGAGTATCACTGCACATGAAGAATTACCGGAATCAAACCAAGTGGAGGTCGAGTCCGGCGTAGATACCGTAGTGAATTTAACTCGCGTATTAGTTGAGGATGAGATCTCCTCGGAGCCATCAGGTAGTGATACCCTAGGGGAGTGTACAATCGTAGAAGCTGAGAACGCAAGTGGCAACCGACTTAAATACAAAGTAGAGACATCTGCTAAAGTGAGTATGACGCTAAATGAAGAACTACCGAAATCAAACCAAGTAGAGGTCCAGTCCGGCGTAGATGCCGCGGTGCATTTAACTCGCGTATTAGTTGAGGATGAGACCTCTTCGGAGCCATCAGGTAGTGATACCCTAGAGTGCGTGACATGTCGTTACATAAGGCCTCCAACTCTCGACACTCTCGCGTCTTTTGCATCAGCGCCGTCTCCAGGGAAGAGCATTTGATCTCGAGCAGCTTAATCATCGCCCTCAGGGACGTGTGCAATTCCTCGTGTTCTTTAGTTATGTTCTCCTTCTCCAATGCGATTCTGCGAAATATTCAAAATTAATTAAAATTAAAAAAATCAAATCAATCATATTTAATTGAAATAAATCAAAATAGTCCTCGTAAATTCGGACGTAGATAATGTCACTTTTAAAGACTGGGGTGTAACATTTGACCTGACCATTAGAAGTTACATTCATCAAGCCTGCGGAGAACATATTTTAAAATTGTTTACTTTACTTATGTACAGGGTTGTCCATTTAAGATACTCCAACACACTATCTCAATAAATACTACACTGAGAAAAAATGTTAAATACAAAAAGTGTTTGACCCTAGTATTTTTATGTATACAGGGTGTTCAGTTGTGCCAGGACAGTAATCAACTCTATTTTTTAAATGGAATGCTATGAATATTTGTTAAAATTATAATTACAATTCGCTTGATTTTGGGAATTTTTTGTCATTACATAAGCATGCCAAATTTTGAGATTTGATAAAAATGAACTTTTCCACTTTTTTGCCGAAAAACAGGCCTTGGAAAAATGTGTTTTTTTATACTTGAAAACTAAAATTGGAAATTTTTATTATGGATCCATGATCCATAATATATAATAATATATAATGATATATAATTCTTTGACCTATCCACGGCGAAAAAATACATACAGTTATGCCAAAAATGACCATCAGAAATTCTGTATCATTTCATATACATATATAGTTTGCTAGTTTAAAAGTTATGGCCATTTTTCTACAACAACTCGTGTATTTTATTATAATATATTATCCAAAGTGTTTTACACATTTATTACTTAATTTTAATATAAAATCAACAAGTAATGCAAGTAAATAAAACTTATTACTAATTACAAAACATTTTTTAGATAACCTCCCTCCATCGTTGGCATATGGTTTCCATTTTCGCAATAGCATTTCTAACCGCGTCTGTTGCATTAAGTCTTTCTACCTCTTTCCGAATTCTCATTTTATTTTCTAACACGCACTGCGACAGATTATATAAAATACTGGGCCTATTATTCGATTACCACACATAAACACTTCTCAGAGCCTGTTTCTTAATTTCTTTTTTCTACTCCCGTCTGTAAAATACCTAATTACCCACCGATCTAGCGTGCGGGAAGCGTCACTTTACCAAGTCAGTTTCGTTTCGGGTTTTTACCGTACGAATTTGGGAGCAATCGGATGTTTTCGGAGATATTTTCCACGCTTTGAATTTTGACGTTTGTCAATTCTGACTATCATGTAAGTGAATATATTCGTGTTTTGCGAAAATTTGACCAAAAACTAACGGTCGTAGAAAAAGTATAGTATGCAACACGTTCGGTAAAGTTTTTAAGTCACTCGTTTTTTAAATACTCGCTCCGCTCGTGTCAAATAAACTCGTGAGTCAAATGCCGTTTACCGCACCTGTTGTATAATATACTATTTTTTATTCGATTATTGATTATCACTCCATGTTCAAGATAACGAACAATTCGTGAACAAATATGTTTCATGGGTACCCATCTTGCAGAATACAGCAAGCTATATTCTCTTAGGCATAATGCTGGACTCTTATTATTACTCACGAAGATATAAAAGTTGATCGACACTGTAAAATTCAATTTTCCAGTTTTTGCATAAACTATGTGGCTCATTGGTTGACTGCCCTGAGTTGCTGAGCTAACTGCCAACTGAGACAAAACAATTCAGTTGATAAAATTATTTCATTTCTGTAATGATATTGACGTTTTTTGTCTTAGTCGCTCACAGTTTACCACATAACATACATTGTTGTTAGAGTGAATTATGTGCTTTTCCTATTGCATTACTGGAGAGATTATTGTCAGTTATAGTTTATAGATATTAAGATAAAATTGTCTCGTAAATGGATGTTAATGTCCGACTATTTTCAGGGCATTTAGGGATTCTCGGTCAATAAATTCTTTTTTCATGAAAGTCTTTGGCCAAGATTTTCTGAGAAAAAGAATTTCTGTTTACATCGGCCAAGAAAAAACGCTGTAAAGAATTCTTTACAGCGTTTTTAATTTTACTATATCATTTTAATTTAACCCAAATTATTTTTCGCTCACCGAGAAACCTCATCACCCGAACATTTCTTTAGCTTTTGGTATTTCTCTTCCCATAACTTCAGCGCTTGCTCGGAGCTCTGCAAGTTCAATTTCAGAATATTCTCGTTGCTCTTATATTTGTCTATAATCACTTTCAATTTTTCGTACCTTCTGCAATAAAATGATATAAAATAGTAAATTAATTAACCGAAATAAAATGGCGCTTACGTGAAGACATCAGAAAAGGCCAACTCGAGGTTAGAAAATTGCTTAGCTGTCGCTTGCTTCTCTGACATCAACGTTTCCAATTGCTTGGTCTGCTCTGCAATCCGCTTCTCGTACTCGTCGAGGATCAGCTTATAAAATAGAAAAACTTAAAGATATCGCAAAGAAATCTTAACTCGCATAGTGGTTGAGAAGCAATCGGATCGTGATTTGAACCAAGACTTGAACCGATTGCGTGAAATATCACTGGGGAGTGTAAAAGAACAATCGTAAACGCTGATAACAATGAAAGTGTGGACCGATCCAGATTATAACATCTTCTATAGTGAGTATCACGCCAAATAAAGAACTACAAAAATCAAATCAAGTAGAGGCCAAGCCCGGCGCAGACGCCGCAGTGAATTTAATTCGCATATTAATTGCGGATCAGACCTCTTCAAAGCAATCGGACAGTGATTTGAACCTACTGCGGAAACATACCGCTAAGACGTGCAAAAAGACAATCGTAAACACAACGAACGAATGTAACTGACATATTTCTAATTTGTCTTTAAGTTGGTTCTCACTTTCGTTCTCTGCGTTAATGATTGCTTTTTTACATTCCCAAAAGTATTTGCCGCAGTAGGTTCAGGTCTTGGTTTCAAATTACACCCTGGTTGCTGCGAATAAGTTTTATCCTCAACTAATATGCGAATTAAATTTACTGCAGCATCTACGGCACACTTGACCTCTACTTGTTTTGTTTTAGATAATTCTTCATTTGGAGTGATACTCACGGTGGCAGATATTTCTAATTTGTCTTTAGGTCGATCCTCACTTTCGTTCTCGGCATTCACGGTTGCTTTTTTATACTCCACAATAGTATTTGCCGCAGTAGACTCAGATCTTGGTTTCAAATTAGGGCCTGAGTGCTCCGAAGAGGTCCCATCCTCAACTAATATGCGAGTTAAATGCACCGCGGCATCTACGCCGGACTGGACCTCTACTTGGTTTGATTTCGGTAGTTCTTCATTTAGCGTCATACTCACTTTAGCAGATGTCTCTACTTTGTATTTAAGTCGGTTGCCACTTGCGTTCTCAGCTTCTACGATTGTACACTCCCCTAGGGTATCACTACCTGATGGCTCCGAGGAGATCTCATCCTCAACTAATACGCGAGTTAAATTCACTACGGTATCTACGCCGGACTCGACCTCCACTTGGTTTGATTCCGGTAATTCTTCATGTGCAGTGATACTCACGGTGGCAGATATTTCTAATTTGTCTTTAGATTGATCCTCACGTTCATTATCGGCATTCACGGTTGTTTTTTTATACTCCCCAATAGCATTTGCCGCAGAAGCCTCAGATATTGGTTTCAAATTAATGCCTGATTGCTCCGTCTCTCGCTTGCTCTTGCTGGTCTCATCCTCAACTAATATGCGAGTTAAATGCACCGCGGTATCTACCCCGGACTGGACCTCTACTTGGTTTGATTTCAGTAGTTCTTCATTTAGCGTCATACTCACTTTAGCAGATGTCTCTACTTTGTATTTAAGTCGGTTGCCACTTGCCTTCTCAGCTTCCACGATTGTTGTTCTACACTCCCCTAGGGTATCACTACCTGATGGCCCCGAAGAGGTCTCATCCTCAACTAATAGGCGAGTTAAATTCGGTGCGGTATCTGCGCCGGACTCGACCTCCACTTGGTTTGATTCCGGTAATTCTTCATGTGCAGTGATACTCACGGTGCCAGATGCTGCTAATTTGTCTTTAGATCGGGCCTCACTTTCGTTCTCAGCATTTACGATTGGTTTTTTACACTCCCCAATAGTATTTGTCGCAGTAGGTTCTGGAATTGGTTTTAAATCACTGCTTGATTGCTCCGTGGAGGTCTTCTCATCTTCAACTAATGTGGGAGTTAAATTCGCTGCGGCATTTGCACCGGATTTGACCTCTACTTGGTTTGATATCGGTAATTCTGTATTTGGCGTGATACTCACCATAGGAAATGTTTCCAATTTGTCTTTAGTTTGGTCCCCACTTTCGTTCTCAACATTTACTTTAGTGCATGGGCTAAAAAAATTGCAACTGCTATAAAAAAAAACGAAGAACTGATAAGAGAGACCTTACCTTGCGGGGTAGAGAGGATCGAATTCTTTCAAGACTGATCTTCGAGTTTGGCAAAAATTGGCCAAATCTACATCGAAGTTCGCTAAAAAAAAAGGCATAACAACTTTGTCCAGACTCATGACAATGTTCTATTAAATCTTCGCAAATATTCAAAATATATTTAAGATTTTATTTTGGACAATTGCCTGGCATTTCCGGATTTTCCAGACTGATGTTTTATTAATGAGAACATCTCGGTACAAGTTAAGCGGTTTATTGACATTCAATTAAAAAAAAAACGACGATATTAATCAAACAAAAAATGTTCAGTTTAAAAAAAATGTACAGAATTAGTAAGGACAGTCCATTCAAATCCAAACATCTTCACGTTTTACATAAAATGTGAATTGAATAGATGAAATGAAATTAATGTGTCTGGTTTTGTATGAACTTTTGTACTAATTTTCCTTCAGATTTTTTCCTGCTTTATTATTAACCAAAACCTTAATCGTAAAATACATCAATTTTTTAAAAGAACCACGCGACATAAGACAGCCTTAAACTTTTTCCCGAATTTTCTGACCAATCCAAACAATCAATTAAAAACCGACAAAACACTCTGTATATAAATCGAAATAATAGGCGCTACCTTTTTCCAAGGGCGGGGGCCGGGTACAGCTTTGTTGCGAGTTAGAATCATTCTGAAAAAAAAAACGCATTAAATATGAACAATTAATTGTTTATTCGCAAACGGCTTATCTGTCGAGGGAGAATTGATAAAGCTATCACAGACAGTAAGTTTGTAACGAAGTATCGTTGTCATCGACTATGTGGAGCCCGATCGGGAACTTCGTTCATTGTTATTGTAGTTCGCTACTAAAGTATCGACAATATTTTATTAATAATGAAAAGAGATTGCTCCAAAAATGAAAATTACATTTTTTATAGCTTCAGGGCGTATCTTTCTTATTAATAAAGCCAGCTTTCGTGACCCAAGGCTAGTTTTTCATGAAATGAAACAAATTTGAGGTCTATTCAACATGTGCATGCGCAAGATTCATTTTAAATTTCGTTTTGAACCAATTAGCTCGTCAGTAAGGTTACAGGAGTATTTTCTCCAAATAGGTCCCGATCCCGTTACAAGGAGTTAGGTGTGTGCACAAAGAGCAGGTTAGCGGGTTAGCATGCCTTCTTTACGAAAATATCATAGTCATCTGAGACGCAGCAATTTTTTACCGTAGTAGGGCAGTTATGACAATTCGTCATTATAATTTTAATTTCTGCCTCCTCTTCTTTCTCTTATGGTTACAGTTAACCCAAAATATTACAAATATGAGAAATTGGATATAATATACGAACAAACAAACCTACTTAAATATAGGGTGTTCCATAAAAAAAAAACTCACAAGTATAGTTTAGATATCAAAATTTGTGAGTTTCATAAGAACACTGACTACACCACTGGATACTACGTAATAAACGATATTCAGATCAGTTTGCACCTTTTCCATAGGTTCATGGAAAACCGAATGGGTAGAAATGCAAAAATTACGAAACCACAACACTTTATCGTTATTAATAAGGGAAATACGCCATCGTAAAACCATCAAAAATGAGACACTGTAAACATATTTTAACCGGTCACCACGATGCCTAAATCTATGATGCTACATGCCAGTAAACCAACCACGTTGGTGGGGAAACACAGTTGGCAATTACTATTGGGTCTTAGTTTCCTTATCGCAAGAAAAAACACAATTTTGAATTTTAAAAATGGAGTAATTCTATTTTTACCAAAAATATTATACAGAGCCGAACAAAAAGTTATGAGCCATTGAGAGCGAAAAGGTCATACAGGTAGAGCCCCCAACAAGAGCTGAGTTAGGAACACATTCGGCAAAAATCCCCAGGAAGCAATTTGGTTCAGTTATTTCGGAAATAATAAAATTACGCATTTGTATTAACTTTTTACCTCGCTTTTTAACTTGAAAATATCTGCGTAATGTCAAACACTATTAAAATAACACGCCGTATATGTATTCTAACTCGAAAAAGACACAATTGAAGAGGAAGAGACCTTCGTGCTGTTTTCTACTCCACGAAATAATTTTTCAAGATGCCCGAAACTACGACAAAAATTTCGATGGCGCAATACTCACTTGAATATATTTTCTGTAAATGTTAGCGGCGAACTCCATAACGCGGGAATTTTTCGCGGAAAACTGAACGAAATATTATGTTATTGTCGCGATTTGGAGGCGTGTACACCGATATAACATCTAAAAATAAGCGCGCCTGCTTTATTATGGACGCTGCCAATATTTGAAAAAAAGACAAAATACTCTCCGTTGAGCGTCGAAAAAAAGACCAAACCTAAAATTTACAAAGAAAAGCGAGCAGACTGCGAACGCTATTGAATAAAAACGTATACGGTGTATATTTAAAACCGGCGGCGCCAGTGGCGTAGTTCGGTAATTACAGTAAAACAAAATTAGCATATACAGGGACTGAAACATATTTTTCTGGTAACGGTCAAATTTATGAAATGCCAGGAACAACTATGCGTTCTCCATTATCACCAATCATCGGAAATATATTTATGCAAGAATTTGAGAAGAAAGCCCTCGACACCTTCCACCTAAAACCAAAGTTATCGAGACGCTACTTTGAAGATGCTTTTGTTATTTGACCTCATGGTCAAGAATCCATCAGAGATTTTCTTAACCATTTAAACTCTATACACCCTAACATACGTGTTAACATTAAATTATAAACTAATAATAATTATCTCCCATTCTTAGATATTCATATCAACAGAAAACCGACACACACAGACCGATATCTGAACACATAATATCACCATCCCACCCAAAAATCATGGGTTATCAAACTCTCTTGTTTAGAGAGCAGTTAAACTGCATATATCTCCACCCGAGTCACCGAACCCTAAATTACACAATTACACTTTAATAATTTCCACATTAGAGGTACTAGGCGTTCCATTTCAAAACATCGCAAAACGTTTCACCCTTAAACCAGATTTACCACCAAAGAACAAAAATCTTCGACCCGTCAAAGACGAAATTCCGCTTGAGATAGAGTTTACTGCATTCCATGTATATACGACAAGGAATACATTAGAGAAACAGGACAAAAAAATGTAAATTAGGCTAAAAAAACATGAATCCGAACATCAAATATTTTTGTCTACTAAAGAAATATATGAGAAGCCATTGAAATCTATAAGCAACAAAACAATCTTAACCGCGACTCAGGTGTTTAACTTTCGCCAATATGGGAATTAGTCATCCGAGACAATGTTTAGCTTTGCCCTTCTCAAGCAATATATAAGAAGGCATGCGGTGCCAACTATTAGTCGTGATTTTAATTATGCATGTTCCGATTTCTCGAATATTTGGAATCGGAAGTGCTAATTTGCACAGCATAGTTTCACATTTACACCGATTAACATTTGTTCTTATAAACTTAATAGTTTTATGAAGCAAAACGAAATGAACTAGTTAACCCCGAAACCTCGAAAAAACAATTTTTCCTGTAGCTTCGTTATCGTGACCGAAAAGAGTTATGATTGACAAAATATGTGGTTGTGTCACACACCAGTAACTATCTGGCGTTTTACAATTTCGAAGGTAATACTAAAATAACGTAAACTAGGTAAAATAGTAATTAGTTTATATTTTATTATATAATATTTTATACCGATATATATAAAAAAGAATTATAAACTGTATGGTACAGTTAAGTACCATATACTTGAGATTGTGACATGATCTCCGTTGTTGTACTCTGTACTGAGTACATTAAATAAACTACCATTAAATTTATTCAGATTTTAAAAGAAGCAAGAAAGATGCGAGATACATGCCGTACCTAGCACAATCCCATTGGTCAGATTTAAAATTTAAACCAATTAAACTTAGTGTTATTTGCGTGTACCAAGTATAACTGGGTTTATTAATTTGTACAATTTGCGAAAAATCATATTTCAATTAATTAATTAATAATCTTGAATGTAAAAACACATGAATTATTCACCATAATAATACACGTTTTAATCATTTTCTACGACTTTTCGCTTTTTGGAAGCTTTTTCTAGAAAACCAATATTTTTGCTTTCAATTGTTTTATTCTTTTTTGTGCAAAAATTTGTTAAAATATGTAACGTTAACTTATTTTTCTTTCCCACACTCCGTATGATAGAGCGTACCCTCTGTGGTTGCACTGTCTAGAACGTCTCTATAAATACACCTACCAAATCGGTCAGCGAGGGCGGATAACGTCGACAATGATCTAGAGGCAAATCCGTCCTAATTCAACCGCAACTAACCTAATACTATTATCTATGCCAAATAAACACATAAAACCGGAGACTATTGTACACTCGTCAATGGTTTACAGTTCATATTATAAGATTATAGGAGTTGATACCACACTATATATCCAATATATCACAACATAAAACGAAAAAAGAAATGCGTACACCTGCCTTTGTTTTGACGAAAAGATTAATTTTAATAATTCAAAAAAAAACGTACAATATACCTGGGAAAGTTCAGTGCTTCTAATAAGACCATCATCGGATGGAAGATGCAGAAAATATACACGAGCACTGATCGGGTTCAGAAATGTTTGTAACATACTTTTAAAAGTTTCATAGACAGACCAAATACAACCTGCAATGTTCAGATGCAAGATCAGCTTATGGTTTAAATGAAATCAATGAAAATGTAAGGATATATCCTTTTATACATTCTTCGGAATATCGTTTGCCCGGATTTTGCGTACGATCCTACATTATTTGCTTTTTGTATTTTGTTTTAGTTCGTTACATTGATCAAAAAGTCAGTGGGGTCTTGAAATCGTTTTACTATGAGACTTTAAAAAGATTACTACTTGCCTCCTTATCTTCAGCATCAATCATTTCGAACAACTTGAAACCAATAACCTCTCGTAACGAACAATTGCACCAAATTTTTTAACGGTTTCATGTGCTTTTGGCACGACTTTCCGTTCAAATTCCGTTTAAACGCGCATGTTTCTTTCCTAAAGGTCAAATTATTGGCAGTGATGTTTGCAGAGAAAACATTAAAATTGTTGCAGGACAAATAACTTCGATCACACGCCCATTTCAATTGAATAATTATTCATTAATATTGTTTGGCATTAAAGCATTCGGTATTTTATAGTTGAATATAGTTCGTCCTTAATGTTAGAGATACTTGTAATCTTATGGAGAATGACTCTTAAGAAGAGATTACTGACGTCCTTTCTTTTACTGGTCGAATGATCCTGGCAGATTTGCCTACCACCAGATAATTAATTTAAAAAAACTCATTTTAATGCGGTCAGTTTTTGACAGTAGTAGCTTGTTTAGCAACAAAAAAGTTGATTTTGAAATCTACTATTTGTGATGTAATAATTATTAACGCAATCCGCGCTAACTATTGCTGGGGTGCATCAAGTCGCAAAGATGACTTCGTTAGATTTGACCCTGTCGGAATTTTCCTCTTTCTCTTTTTGCGCTGCGGCGTTGGGTTTTTGTGCCATATTTCTTTACATAACGAGGTAAGTATCGCGAATTTTACACAGCTTCTTTCAATAAGTAATCTTGTTGGTATAGGAATATGTTGTATGTCGGAGATCAGAGGACAGAGTGGGCTTTTCCGACTTCTGTTCAACGTGGGTCTCCTAAAGTCCCGCAGATGAACATGGTTCGAATCGAGATTCCATTCACGTTTAAATTACTGAGAGCACAGAGTGCTTCCTATGAAGGTATTTAACATCCTTAAACAAAAGCCAAGCTAAGGTGTCTCTTTTTAGAATTACAATTTTCCTTATTGAGTGAAGTGCATTATGAAGTGCACTGTTTCTGGGGTGTAAGCGTTAAACAGTTTCACTTGTTTTTGTGTCGACCCTGGTATGACATTAGAGACGCATTTGCTAGGGGTGACTTTTTGAATGGATATTATGAACAATCGGGCCTGCAAGCAGTGTAAGTTTCAAATTGTAAGCTGGATGAAAAAAATTGTTTACCTTCTACAGGAATGACGCGAACACGGAGGAAACATACACCGTTAGCTTGAACAAAACAAGTTCTGACTTTTTAAAATCAGGAACACTGCCTAGGAATTACTATCCTTTAGTTGTTATTGTGATTAGGAATGTAAGGGATCAAAATGTTCTTTCAAATGAAACGGTAATTATATATCACTAATCACTCTTTAAGATGTGAAATAATAATAACAAATGGTAAATATTGTAAATATTTTAGGTTGCACTAATCAACATAATTCACATAAAAGATTCAATATGCACTTTACCTACCTGTATTTTGGCCCAGTACCTAAAGCAGGCAAATGGGCAATTGTCTTCATTAAAGGTAAAGCCTTGTGGTCACACCAGCAACAATTTAACTATTGACTTTTTATTTTTAGCAACTTTATTTGTCCACTGAGAGTTTAAACTATGAAACGGCAAACCAGAAGGACAGAGAAGCAGAGCAGCAGTACTGTATAGTGTGCCAGTATTTTGCATTATCGAGGGCCATTTTGCCATGCAGGTAGACTGACAAATGGATCCAAATTTTGGATTAACACATTTTTGGTGGTTTAGGCAAACATGTGTCTGTGCCAACTGTTTTTCCAGATTAGATCGGTGTCCAATCTGTCGAGGCTCCATAAAAAGCTACTTCTGCATTAGAGATGAGCATTATATAACAGATTGCTCAAGCTCGAAGCAGATTCAAAGCCGTTGGTCACTTCTTGACTGGCTCCACACCTGGGATGACCGCCTGACTGATTTTCTTGGCTTTCAAAGATAGAACTTGAAATAGACCTTGTATAAGAAAATTTCTGTGATGTGAATGATAGTATTTGTTTTTTTTTTAATATAGTTTTCGAACAAAAACACTCCTTTACTTGTTCTAAAAGTGTACTACTGGAGTCAATTTATGGTATTTTCAGGCATTACTAAACAATATTCTGCTAATTTTTTAAAAATGTATAATAAATCTTATTAGACAAAGGCAAGTATGTGGTAATGAAGCATTTATACTCTATATTAACAATAACTATTAAGCAGCCAAATATAATATACAAAAGCAAGGCTTATACAGCTGCAAAAATCAATAAACAAACAGTGGCAATCTTAAACATTGTGTTAACTTCAACAATGCTTTTTCTGATCCAAAGAACTGCAAGCTGTTAATTAGTAACAAGTATAGCGCAGGTAATCCTCATCGTTTAAGGAAAATGAGCAGTTCTTGCAGAAAGTGTTTTTGCAGTCGATGCAATCTTGCAGACAATCCAAACAGGAACTTTTTTCACAGTAGTAGCATTTCGTTTCGGTTTCGATAGACACGGAGCAGTTGCAGCAGTGAAAGGCAATGTTAATCATTTCTAGCTTGGGGATCGGCTGAAACTGCTTCTTGCTCCCCTTGTAGAGTAATTGCAGCGTTTTTTCTGATGCAACGGATGTTATCTCCCGAACTTTTAAACCGGTCTTTAACTCCTGCTTTTTTACAGCTTGACTGGCTTCGTCGAATGGGCACAGGCGTTTCTTAGACATCACAGTTACCTTATTTCCCTTTTCAAAAAATTCAAATTTCGGCTTAACCTACAATTTCTAATTTATAAACGTACACAACTGTTAGCCAAGTTTGCTATGATCATTCGACCATTTACGACTTCCGTCGACGATTAT